GGGGCATGGAAAAGCATGGTTTCTCTAAAGAATGACATAAAGGTATAGATTGGCCCAACTGAGAGCATGGCCAGAGTCAGCTGCTTTGAAGGGGTTCAACCCCATCCCTCAACCCTGGTAATGATCAAACCACATCACTGGACCAATCCTTCCCACTCTAGTAGAAAAGCAGTGTTTCCTGATGGCTTGAAAACCAGGCTCAGCTCTTTCAAAAAGGGCCAGCACATAGAGCTGTGCAGGTGCGCACTGCACAATGAGAGCCTCATCTGAGAGGCAATGTTCCCGCAGCACACACCATAGATACTGAAGTTCATGATGACAATTTCCTGAAAGGGCTGGTAAAGTTTCTTGTTCTCACAAAATCTGTATTTTATAAAAACTTTCTGACAAATAGAAGTAAAGTGTCTTGAGGAAAGGCCCCATTTCCTAATTCACACAAATGTACCGTATGGCCTTGTGGTGGTAAGCTAGCTCTTATCGTTTCTCCCTCCTGTAATGAAACCTAGATTCCAACCACGCACTGTGATTGTACTTGGCTTTTTCATGGCTCAAATGCATTCTATCAAACCTGCTTCAAGCAGTTAACACTTTCCATTTTCTCCTATTCCATCTGATTCCATCTTCCCTACCTGGCCGACCTCCCCTATCCTCCTAGATCTGGTTCTACCAATACCTCTTCTAACTCAAGACAGATCACTTCTCCTGGTTCATCTTATTTTTCCAAAATTCAAACTTAGTTCTGGGATTTTCCATTGTAGAAACACCCAGAATCCCATGATCCAAGAAGATAGGAGGCCTCCAACCAGAATCTATGTACAGAAACCTCCCTATGCTGCCATATCTCTCTGGAATGGCTCCAGAAGCCTCCTAAACATCAGTTCTTAAAACGATTAACATATATTGCTCACACAGAAATATAAATCACTCTGAGTCAGAGTTGGCTCCAGCTCCTTCAAAAGTCAGCCAGAGGGTCAATTTAGACTCTAATTAAATTGCCACCATAGCAAGTACCACCACAAAGTTAACTCTAAAGTAGCACATACTTTCACCCTCAAAAATGGTCCTAACTCTGTTCTATAAGGAACTTCATGTAAAACCTAGAAAACCATTGTGCAGAAAGGATACACATCTATTTCAGGAAGGTGGCTGCCTCTATGGAGGGAGGCTGAGCAGGGGCCAGAGCAGGAAGTGAGCTGTTCTCTGGTCCACCGTATTTCTTTTTAACAAAATCTCAAACAAGAATGGCAAAGTGTTAACATGTGTTGAATGTGTGTGGTGAGTAGAGGATATCTGTTACGTTATCTCCTGCTCTTTGAATGTATGAAATATTCCATACTTTACATTTTAAAATGCAGAAAGCACATTTTTTTATGCACTTTGGCAAAGATGATCTCCTAATTATTCATGAGAGAAGCTTTAGAGCATTCTATGATGAACCCAACGTAATCATGTTCTGACCAGGCCAGACCTGGACTCGAGGTAAAGTGACCATGAATATAGCCTCTGGTGAACCTTGGTGGCTCTCCACCTGCAGTTGGCAGAGGGCAGTGCCAAAGCCGGGGCAGCACACAGTAAGCCCACAGGGATGGACGTGACCCTCCATCCCAGCTTTTGCTTCCCACACCCCAGCCCGTGGTTAAAGACCTCCACCGGCCTCTGCCTCTCACCCTTCTGGAAAGAGGCGCGTTTTCAATGATGTATCCATCCTGCCACCTAGCCTTCGGCAGTGTTACTACAACGAAGCTGCCTTAAACCCCTTCTCTCAACTTCTCTGAATTTCCCTGGTCTGGGACGGACTTGAGACTAGGTACTTGATTTCTTGAAAGTCACCACACCTTGGTTCTGGGTCAGGATGAGGCGGCAGCATTAGTATGCCTGCTGTGTGCTGGCCTCTGGGAAAGGGGCTGATTCAATCTCATCAAGTCTTTAAAAGAGAACAATTACTCACTGTGGAAAATGGCAGGCAAACCTGCCTGAGAGAGCGGTGAGAGCAATGAAGACGAGACAGAATGCAGACAAGACCCTCAGCTGGCAGTTTTCCTTTCCAACAAAAAGGCCACACGCCCTTTGAAAAGGTGTACATATAAAAGCATAAATCTTTTACTTGGTTGCATTTCTTGAAATTTGATTTTGATATCCAGTTAACCTCTTAAAGGAACAGGGAGGGGTGATCTCTGGGGGACAGCATGCAAGTAGATGATATTTAACTTCTTACTTCTCCAAGAAAGATGTGGCAGGAAGGCATCAAAACTGGAATATGCCAGAGTTGGGAAGGCAGGGGTTGAGAAGCTAGTCGCCATGGGAGGGCAGGGGTGGGGGGGCTGGCCTCTAACTTGTGCATCTGACAGGAATAAATGAGCCCCTCCCAACAAAGTACATTGATGAAAATCACTTTTTCCAGAAACAATCTTCTGAAGGTGGTTGTGAACAGATCTAGGCCTTCAGAATGGAGGGAAGGGGGAATGAAATCAAGAAAGGTTCGTGGGCATCCCCCAAATCCAACTTCCGGTAGCAGAATCTCCCATTCCGTTGTCATACATTAATTATGAACTTGTAGAAGCAAACGCATCTGACCAGTGTCCCACCTTTGGACAAAATTACTTTAGACAATCCCAGGTTACTAAGAATTCTTTCTCAGGCCCTCCCAGGGAGCCCACCTGAGGGTTCGTCCCAGGGAAAGCAACTCACATCCCATCAGCTCTCAACCCCTCAGGCTAAGCCCACTTCTAAGTTGGGATACAGCATGGGCACCTACCATTTACATTCCTGCAGAGTCCCCTTTCTCCATGGCCCCTTCTGCCTGCCACTCTATCTCAAGGACCAGCTCCTGCCACAACCTCCCCTTCCTTCTCCCTACCCTTGTCTTCTCTATGAATCATTCCTTCTTGCTTTTACCTGTCCTCACACATTTTATTTTCCAGCCACTGGAAGCCAGCTAGACAAAAAGACGTGTCATTGGAAGCCGTCTCTCTCAGAATAGAGGGTGGTTGGAACCAGGCAACTCATGTTTCTCTGGAAGGAGCACCACAATTTCCCCATTCATCTTAAATGCTACCAGTGTGCCGGGGTCGCCTTCGCTGCTGAGTTGGTGCAGAAATGGGAGCAGAGGCCAGAGCACACATGGCACACTGTTCGGCCGCTCTTCTAGTCTGAACTTGACACAAAAAAGAAAAGAAAATAACACACAACCACCCTCACTCCTCAAATATTTCAACCAAATTTTCCCTCTAGCCAGACAGAGGGGAGAAGAAACGACAAAGAGCCTCGCTGCTTTTTTTTTTTTTTAATCATTACATAGCCCCTCCTCCCTCTCCCAGACAACATCTAAAACCCTTCTGGCAATACAAGCGAAAGCAGGACTTTAAACTTTAGCCTCATTTTTTAAAACGTGCCTTTAGGCAAGTAGATAGTGAGAAGACAGATCAGAATCTGGGAGTGTTAACAGCATAGAGAGAATTGCTCCAGACCCAAACCAGCAAGAGAAATATTTTCTTAAAAGCAATCCTGCGGAAAGAATTCTTATCATAGATAAGGGTGCAGTCTAGTGGCAAACTTTGTGAAATGCAGCCCCTTCTCCCAAGGAAAGTTAAGAGCACTTCCAAAGGCATAAACGGAAATGTAAGAGGCAACACTCCCACCCCAGCTTCTTCCAAATGGGTAGCAAAGACTGGTCATTTCTCTTTGACCTGGCTGTGAGGGCCACAACCTGTCCATGTCAATTTCAGAAAAAAACTAAAATCGCTATGTTCCTTCTTTTAAGACTTTAGCTTTCTTTTATTTTGCTAAGGAGAGAAGGAGTCAACAGTGTCTGAATAGATTCTCTGGGGTTTCAAATGGGATAGAATGTCTTCAGAGCAAGCCCTGTGGCCTGTCAGCTCGTATTCTTGGACAGTGCACATGTGTGCTAATTAACCTTATAACAGTGTGTCCTTCTGGGTGTCACCCATTCCCTCCAAAGATGTGACCCTGACCAAAGAAATACCCCTTTAAAAGAACATGGAGGGAAAGCATTACTCCAATGTGCCTTCCTTCCACCTAAAACTTCCACCCCAGCATATTTTAGATCACCAGGCATGATTTTCAGACTGAGCCTTTCCTCCAAGTGCCAGTCTCTATAGCCTACTGTTCCCTACAGTGCCCTGGTCTGAATGTCCCTTCCTGCAAGTACACACAACACACACACACACACACACCCTTCCCTGGGCGAACAATATAGCTGAAGGGAAGTGGCCACACCTGTCTTGCTTGACCATATGCCCAAAGACAGTCACTCCACCAGCAACAGAAACTCTCAATTAAATCCCTTTTCCCAAGCTTTTAGGGGGGAAATTCAGTTTTTCTTCTTTTGCTTTCTTTTTAATTCAATTCACCACCCATCAGGGAACGCTGGCCATCCTACACTAACAACCCCCCC